TGAGAAAGACTATTATTATATATGAAACTGGAGGGGAACATTTTAAAGAATATTCAAAATGAACTGTTGTGTATTATTAATGACAAGACTTGAAAATGTTCCTTTTTGCTTGTAGAATATATGCTATCACCTTACAGAGTCCTGGAATTGCCTTTGTACTTGTAATTTGCAAATTTTTATTCTGAGCATTATCCTCTTACTTTCTCATGAAATGTTATTGATGACTGAACAGTGAATACTAGAACTCTGTTTTGGGTTATAATTGATTGTATAAATCAAATGTCATAATTTCTATTTCCTGACTAAATACACTAAACTCTTAACATCAGGTTATATGGTTTGCAAAAGCCTTTGAGGGCATGAAATTTCTTAGGGAGGAGAAGTAGCAGATAAAGAGGATTTAAATTTTTTTTTATATATTTTAAACCTCTTTTCTTTCTAGTCAGTGTAAGCCTTGCCTTAGGGATAGTTCCTAGAAAAATTAGACTACTCTAAAATTGCATGGCTGAGAGCACACCAGTTTAAATTAATTTTTCATTGTCAATCCACATAATGTAATTATATATGCCTGTGTGGTCTCAGTTGTAGAAAATGCAGAGGATTTTAACATTTTGCATGAAGCACCGGAAAGTTTGACCTCTGCTTTTCTGAGACATTGTTGTCACCAAAAGAATCATTTTCCTTTGATGCTTACCTGAACCACTTGAAGAGGAGGACCAGGAAATGAAAGAGAGGACAAAGGGAAAACTTGCAAGGACATTTTCCACGGGAATTAGCATAAGATAATATAGTTCCAGTCCATAAGGATATTTCAGGTTAATGCCCCTGCATGGCTGATCCAATGAGTGCATTGAGTAGCTGGCCGTGCTCACACTCCTCACTCATTGCATATTTTTGAAGTGTGAAAGGGGTTAAAACTAACATTGCAATGGACTCATGTACAAACTTAGTAAATACAGATCACTGGCAAAGAGTTGTGGCTGTCGAGACCTCTACTTTGGTGACTGAAGAGATTTTCTAAAGAAGAAAATAACACAAATTACCCAGCTGTCAGAAGAAATGCTGGGCACAATTAGATGGAAAAACTTTTTGTTTTCTTCAGTAATTTTTTTTCAAATATCATTCCCAGAACAGATCTGTGCTGGAGGACTAAGACTTCTGTTCTGACGAATGCTTGAATGTGAGTTAAAATGTTCACTTCAGATGCATAACTACTGAAGGAAAATAGCATATCTCAGATGTTGACTGGAAATCCATGAGTAGAATGTAGCTATAAATTTATTTCATAAATTCATAATAATCGAAGGAGGAGGATTTTTGCACTTTTTACTGCTCTGTATTTAGACAAATTCTAACTATTTTACTTTCAAACTCTTACTCCGCATTTCGAAGAGTGTGTCTGTACAAATTACAGAGAGTTTTGTATTTGTGGTTCAAGCCACAGGCCAATGTGGATTTGTGACTGAATGTGTAGGATAAGGTCCCATCTTGTTTGGGTAGGCCCTAATAGATTTAGTTCTAATGCTTAGATACATTGGAAATTTTCTGCCTAATTAGTAGTATTACAAACTGAATTTGCACTTTCAAAAATCAAAGTGTTTCCTCAAAATAGTAGTGGTTGTAAGTTACTTGTTAAAGGAAGTCAAATAGAAACATTTTCACTGAGGATGGAAGGCTTCAAGGAGAAACAGTAATTTCACAGGAGAGAGACTTTGATGGATTCTGAATTTCAAAACAGATTTCCAGACCTAATTTTCAAAGGACCATTCAAAAAAAAGCCATTTGAACTAGATGATACCAGAAAATACTTCTATCTTTCTAAGACATAAAAATTAGGTTTTGAGTGCAGTTGCAGTGAAAAAAAATCAGTCTCTTGGTATAATACAATTTAATTCAATGGGTTTTGAAATCATCTCACAGAAACAAGAGCTGAAATGTGATTAAATTCCAAGAATCAATGAGAACAAGCTGCAGTAGAGCATCAAAACTGATTCTCCTCTTACTTGTGATGGTGTGGTTTGGCAGCTGGTGAATTCATACCAGAACCCTTCTTTGAGGAGCACTGTTTTGAACTGTTTTTTTCTTTTCAGAAAGAGTGTACAGGCAGAGACAGACATCAGCGCATTCCATGAATATAAATGTATTTGTATTGGGGTGAGTCTTGGTACTTATAATTTTTTTAAATTGTTAATATTGTTTTTATTTTAAGCTTCTGACATTCTCAAATCATAACCATTTCTGCATAATGATATGAAATTAAGTAGTCATATACTATGCACCTCCACTTAGAAACTGTTGAGAAAAATAGGAACCATTTCTAACTTACCTTAACAGCCATACATCCTGCTGACAAATAGTTTCAGCACATTTCCCCTCACAAGAAACTCCCATATTTCTGATGATTCTAAAAGTACATCATGCACATGCACCAGACATTTGTCCTAAGCAGGCACAAACCCCTTCATTTTTAAGATAGCGATATTATCCTCAGTTTTGCTGAGTAAATCTGGCTTGGAAGATTTTGTATTAGGGTCTCACTTCCTGAATTTGATGGTTCATGCATACATATATTCAGTTATCACAAGCATTGCTTTGTTAACTAGAACATCTTAACCCCTCATCCTGTGAGAATTTTTAAGAATTTTTAGGAGAAGCTGACCTTCAAGAAGTTATCTGCCCACTGTAATATCAAAAGAGCCTCAGCCAACTAACTTTATTAATTTTTTCCACATTTTCTTCTTATATGAACACAACAAAACAGGTGCTGAAATTCATTTGCACCCAGCCTTCACAGCTACACTCTGTAAACTTACTTGAAATATATTAAACAATAAATCATCACCATGAGTAAAACTGTTTGCAGAATATTTTTTTATTGGAAAAAGAATATTATACTTTTTAAATAGAAGATATAACGTATTTGTTTGAAATAATGTGATAGGGTGTGAACGAAGTGCCATTAGAGTTGCCAAAAAATGTAGGATTTGGCAGGCACAGCAAAAAAATAACCATCAGCTTGAAATAGCATTTTTGGCAGTACTCAGAAGTCATTAGGTTTGTATAAAACTGAGCCCTGCTACTATAAGCAAGCACAAGTAAAGTTTTGTTGAATATGTTTGCACACAAAGTGACACTTTTTTTTGTTGCTCTGAAGTATAGGAATATTTTTGGCACACAGTACCCAAACTAAACTTTTTTCATAACACCTTACCCACATCCATCTGAACCTATGAAGAAGGGCTGGAATTTCACTCTTTGACAGTGCTGCCCTGAGTCCAGCAAAGCATGAATCCTGAAGTCATGCTGCGTTTTCAGGTACTTTAAACCATAAATCCATATTTAATTAGAAGTTCATGAAATACTGTAGAAGATAAGATCTCCGTTCTAAAAATGAAATAAAAACCTGGGCCTTTGGCTTTCTTCTCTGACTCTGGGCCATAATTTAATTAAAACTGCATATCATATGCTAAAAATCTCATTGACAAGTGTTAGTTGAGGAATTCAGATTCCTTGTGGTACCTCAATCTGTGCTTTCTATTCTGCAATCATATTGTTCCATATTCTTATCCCATTTCCCACCCCCTGCATCATGCACTCCTTCCTGTCCTGTTTCTCATTAACAAAGTGAATTCCTTTGAGATTTAATGCTATAATGTCGAAGTTTGAACACTGGCATCTTAATATCTTAATGGATATCTTACTTGACAGCTCTGTGCATTTCAGCTCTCTTCTTTAACAGCATATATTTGTGGGAAAAAGCTGGCATTGAATTTAAGTGCAGGGAGCTCAGGCAGGCTTGAAATGGAAACCTATCTAAAATAGCTGTGATTTCTTCTTACTGCATTAGAAACTGAAATAAGCTTCAGACATTAAAAATAAAATAGTACATCATTGATGTAACTGGAACCCCATCCTTTATATCAAACAACAAAGTGTGATATTAATGATTTATTATACACATTTGTTATTGCATTTATAGCAAAGTTATGGAAAATGATGAGACTGAGGTAGATTTTGCCTGTATGTCTGGGAAATTCTGTGTTTGGCTGGAGAAATATCTGTTCTTGAATCCATGAAATAGTTTTCATATTTTGGCAATGGAAGTCTTAGGAGTGCAGACAGCCACAAGAGTGGGGTTTACAAATCATCTTTAGAAATCTTAGAAATCTTACAGTTTGCAAAGAATTGCAGGTACAATAACATTCCCAGTCCCTACAATAGCAAGGAGTGGTGGCATTTCAGACCTTTTTCGTCTCAGATGGAACATCTTTAGATAGTAAAAAAGAGTAGATGTGAGTTCAAGCTATTTCAAGTAACTACTTTGTGTTTTCAGTGTTTGTATGCATTATCCCTGTTGCTGAGTGGGAATATGGACATGACAGGAGACTGCTCATTGACAGAAGACAGCTGGGAAGCTTGCGCTGTTATTATATATATAATAAATATATATATAAATATATACATATATATATACATATATAAATATATATATTTATATGTAAAATATATATTATGATTTATATATAATTTATATAAAATTATATGTATTACACATATATTATATAGCAGCTTGTGCTGTTATTTATTATCTATAAAGTTATTAATCTATCTTGTACAGTAAAATAATACTTTCCATATTAAGAAAGACTACTCATATATAAAGGTGATGTCATAGTCTTAATTTGCATGAAATGGGCTGTTCATTTGGAACTGGTCTGTAAGAAGTCAATTCACATGGATTTTCCACATAATCACATCTACAGTGTTTCTCAGACACTGGACCCACGTGTATCATTTGCATGAGATATCTTAATATAAGTATTTCACAGCATATTTCCTCCTCACAGCTGTACTTCTGAAGTAGCACCCACACCTTCTGTTCTTGAAATATTGCACTTTCTCCCCAACAGCTGAATTCTGCAAGTAGGAAAATTCTGCCCACTCCCTCTCTCCCCTCAGTTTTCAGGCAGAATCCAAAGCCTTTTTATACTGATAAAAATCCATTCATTGACTCATGGGGCTTCTAACTGTACAACATCTTATACAGTCCCTGGTCAATATGTCACTGTGCTCTTCACACAGGGAGCCTGCCAGATCAGATATTCAGGATTCATGGCACTCAAAAATAACCTGATTATTTTTGTAGATCAGGAGGCAGACCCCATATTCATTCCAGTTAAAGGCTTGCTCAGTTTTGCATACACATATGCTCACAGAAATTATGCTGTAGTGAACTCTATGACAAAAATCCTAAATATTTCTTACAAAAATTAATGTGCTGAAAGAACTGGTCTGAAGACAGGAGCAAGAAGAAGCAGAGTCTGTCCCTGTTATCTAAAATCAGGGAAGGAATTGAGTTGAAGAGAAAACCAGGAAAGGTAAGAATTTTCATACTGGAATAATCTCTGAGAATGTAGCAACAAAGATTTTGACTTTTTAGACATGGGTGCTTAAAGGTTAAAACAAGCATTAAATATGATGAATTTTTGTGAATATCACTGGATTAAGAGGCAAGAAATTAGCAAGGTAGTATAAGACAGTCTGGAAGCTTTGCATGCAGCAAGCTCTATTTACATTGGCAGGGGGATGGAGTTGTTATATAGGACAGTTTTAATCTACATAGCAATTCACTTTCTGCTGATAAGAATATCAATATTTAGAGTTCTAGGTTTAGGTTATTTTGTAATAAAATCCATCATGTGAGAAGTAAAAAGCCATTTTGTTTAGAATTAATTGCAACACAAGGAGGGCCTCACAATGTTTCTGCTACAATGGTTTCAATACTTCTATTTTAAAACAGTATGCAGAATATAATTCTCATGTTTCACCACTACTGTCAGTGCATACTAAAATAATATTTTTCTGTGTTTTATTTTTGGTTCCATGGTATTTTCAATAACTACCTTATCATTACTTTTTTTTTTCTGTTTTCTTTGATTTTTATTCCATAGTGCTATTTTTCTTCTGATGTACTCTCTTCACCTGTACAAGATGCATATTTATCTCTTCTACATGAGGGATTGAAATGGCTGCTATTGACTTGATATCTGTTTATTTCTGAGTAGGAAATCATCCCCTGCCTTTGGAATTGGATTAAAAAGGTTTGCTCAGGCACATGCAGCAATTTCAGCAGAAAGCCCCTGGGTTTCCAGTGACTGTGAAATGCAGGATCCAGTGCTGTGTGAGTTCTGCATTTTCACACATAGACATTGGGAACATCCAGCCTTTTGAATGAAGCTCAGCATATCTTAACTCCAAGGACATAGACCCAGTGGAAAAAAATTGCAGTGTACAGACCCCATCTCCAGCAAGTGCCCAGCAAGGACCTGAGGTTGGATGTTAAAGGGCTGAGGGTTAATTCTTGCCCAGCTTTTCTCTGTGACTCTGGACATGCTGCTCAGGCATCCATAACGGAAATAGGAGCTTGTTTCCAACCAGAGGTTAACTTGGCCACCATATAAAAAAAGAGCATCTCCTGGTGCTCCAAGGTGTGAACACCTGCAAAATTCTGAGACAAGGAGGCACAAAGATCATTGGGAGTGAAAAGAGGACAAGAAGGAGAAAAGGCAGATGAAGTAGTTGATTCCTTTCTTCAGAAATTATATTTGCCAACCATATCTTAATGTCTGAGATTTCTGATTTTATTGAGGTTTTTTTTACTACAATCAGATGAGTGAATATGACCTTGTTGCAAAGCAAGCCACTTACAATTTTTTTTTAAACTAAAGATAGCTACTTAATTTTCTACTTGTGCTAAAACCTCCTCTTTTCATGTCTTTTCTACTGTCTTGCCGTATAATCAAAGTGAAGGAGTGAAAATATACCCAAAAAAGACAATCATGCCAAAGTGAAGGAAATCAAAATTTGGCATTTTATATAACCTACATTTTATATAAATGTCACAACTGTCTCCCAAATAGCTTTTATAGAAGAAAAAAGAAAAGTGGACTTAAGTTCTTCTCAGGAGATATCTTTATTGATAGCATCTGTGCTCTTCTGGACTCACAGTGAGAAATGTGGCTTTGTTTTCTAAAGTGATTTGCTCACTTGCAGTCCAGCATTCAGCCACTTGGTATTCCTGCATAAACTGAAGTCTTACTTAAGCTCTAGTTTGCAAGTGAGAAGCAGAACTGGCACAGAAACTCTCTGTAGTCTGCAGTTGCATTATTCAGTAATTTTTTCCCCAGTTTAAAACAGATAGTTGTGTTATTTATCATAGCAAATAAAATAAGGAAGAATTATTAAAAATGGGTAAACGCCTGTCATTCTCCTGCACATATCTAAAATATTTATTTCTGTGAATTTCATCACTTACTATTTGTGTCTCAGTTATTTGTCTTTTTCTATGAATGTTTCAGAATGAGAACTTTCCTGTTCTTGTCTTCACAGCTCATAACTTTTATTACTAGGATCAACTCTCTTTCCTTCTCACCACATTTTAAAGAAACCAGATTTTTATGATGTGGTAAGTATTACTGAGCACAGTATAAGTGAAGTCTTGCCAGAGATTTCATTATTGCTTCCTTACATTTACATCCTACATTTACAGCGCTGTGTTGGCTTCTAAATTTATCCCCAAAGTTATCTAGACATTCATGGACAGAAGACCACTATTACATCAAAATTCTTATGAAACTGCTTTCCTCTGCTTCATTTCTACACTCACCTTGGTTTAGAGGTTTTTTTATTTTTGATTTTTTTTCCCTCCATTTACAAACATATATGCAAGGAACTGAGCAAGGTCACAAGGTGTTTTTCTTTCCTTGCTTTTTTTTTTTTTCTGTAGGGTATTATTACATCAAGAGACTGTGGTAAGAAATTACCATCTGATCTGGTATTTGTGTCCTACACTGAGTACCTGATAAAATGAACCAAGTACGTCACCAGAAGATGGATGATTTTGTGGATAAGGCTCAACCCCCCACAATGAACTTTATAGCACATTTACAGGCTCATTGTGGACTGGTATATATTGCAGAAAACATTGTGCCATGAAGAAATCCTGGGATTAGTGCCAAACCAAGGCTACACGTCCACAGGAAATAGAGCAGTGCTGGGAGACACATCACCTGGAGACCCCGAGCAATGAAGGTGCATTGGCCTGAGGAGAATGAGTTCCTCAGCTCCTCAGCCCCAGCACTGATGGAAATATCATCTCCCAGATTTGAAGCTTGCCTGGCTTGGGTCCATCCAACCCAGACAGTCTTGAACATTCCTTGTTCTGTCCCTCTTTCAGGGACTTTTAGCAGTGGTTTCAATCTCTTCCTATTATTGTGCTTCTTATTACTCTCTTGCAATGTCAATTTTTGGAAAATTAATGGAAAAGTATTTCCTTCTGCCTGTTCAAGTTGGAATTGATCTATCTGGAAATTCTTTTCTTTTTATATATTCAAAGAGAGCCATGCATTGTATAATCTAAATATTACTTTGAAAGAAATAATAAATATAAATCAAAATATTCATAGGCTGAGGGTAAATAAAGTCTGTACTACACTGTGAATTGGTGGTCAAAATAACATTGGTAATCAGTAAAACATCACAAAAAAACCCAGAAGAAAATGTGTGTATTTTTAAATAGATGCTTTCCCAGTTTTGCAAGACAGGAAACGAAACAATATGATGGAATATAGAAGCAATAAACTATGTTATATTTTAACTTAGTTTTTATTTTGTTACCAAGAAAACAACTCACATTACTGCAATATTTAAGCCATTACATGTTTGGTTGGAGTTTTTTCATTTGTTTGTTTTTGGTTTTTTTTTTCTCCCAGAGGTTGGATAATTCTTTAAATATAACAGGCTGAGAAAGTTTGCTCAGGCTGTGGTCTAGCTGAAAAAGCATCACAGAATATCTTTCCATGAAAAAACTGCAGATAACCAAGGTATTTCCTTTGCAATCTGTACTAACTTCCAGACAAAGCCTCTTATAACATTTTAGACCTTTTTGAGATTCAGGGAACTTAAAAAAATCTCATCTAAAAAATTTTGGAATGATGATAATAATAGTAGTCATCATAACTAAAAAAATACATGTTACATGCATTTCTAATACACTGTCATGATAGTACTTAAAATAGTTCATTAAAAAAAAATCAATCCCTCTCTTCTCAGTAAGAGGCCTCAGTAAAAGTTAATCTTGTTCACCTTAGAGAAGGAATCCTTGTTCTTACTGTCCTTAGCTGCCTTGTTTGTTTTTTTTAACCCAGCAATTTCACATTTTTGTGTATTACAGTGCAGGTTGAGATGCACCTCAAAGACCTTTTCAAGCCACCTGAGCACCCAGCAATGGTGAAAGCCTCAGTGGAGGACACAGAGCACTGCTAAATATTTCCTCTCCTGCAGGATAGCTTGCTTGGTATGAAATACAACAGGCTGAAGGCCAAGAGACCACTTTGCCACTTTAAAATAGAATTACCTTATTATTACTCAGCAAAGCCAGCTGCTTCAATTCAAAGCACTGCCACCCCTGCACACCCTCCCCCCCCCACCCCAATTTGCCCAGGAGGGTCAAACTGTGCCAACTTTACTGAAATCATTGGCAGGCACTAGGAGCTCACACCCTGTGTGTCATTCAAGGCTTGTCTCTCCATCAGGATAATAAATACCTCATGGGAAGTGTTTCGGTGCTCACAAGGCATGACAAATCCTGAGTCACTCACACCACTTCTTTTAGTACATGAGTATTTGGGCATTGCCTTTTCCCCTGAAGGTCTCCCTTCTAGATTGAGTCAAGTTATTTTAACATACAAGATGTGAGACCAGCTTTGCTTTTAATATGCTTGCTCAAAATGTGACCACCATTCTTGGGGTCTTAGCTATGCTAGTTTTTGCTCATGCAATGAAATATTTCATCTTCTTTTCTAAAATATACTGAAATGTATTGAACAACCCCATGTGGCTGAGGAAAACCATACTCTTACCTATTACGTTTAGAATTTTGTAAAGGGGAAATTTATTTCAGTGCAATAGAACTCCTGCTCAGAGAGTTAGAATGTAGTCTCCTGGACAACTACACACAAACCATGCCATTATCATCCCAGCTAAGCAAGGCATTTGGGCTTTTCACAGCAGAACAGCAATGGTAATTGATTGCAGGTGTACCAGGCAGTGAGCAGCACTGGGATGCTTCACTCCTTCATCGTGCCTCAAGCAGCAGGAGGATGCTTTGGGCTGCTCTGTTTGGCAGGTACTCAACTCAAGACATGTTTGGAAAGCAACAAACTCAGAACTTGGAAGATCTTGTTTTTGCTAATATTTCTTCTATGACTTCTAAAGTTTGCAACTTTTCCTTTCTCAATAGGAGTCTTATTTAGAAAGATGCAAATAAAAATTTAGGTTTGTAAAATGTAGAAGGTGTAGGGAAGTCTTGGGCATCTGAAGGAGGGGAAAAGGAAAGGGAGAGGGATATGGAATATTTGACAAGGACTGACAATGGGGTGAGAGGAAATTGTAATAGAAAATCGACTCTCACCGTATGTAAATTGTGTAAGATCCACTTTATTCTTTGCCTATGTAGGTGCTTCTCAATGGTATAAAAGAACCAATGCTTTGGTTTGTTTAAGAAACATAATTGACTTCATTTAAGGACTAATATCTCACTTGAAATAAACATCTAAAATGTAATTAAATATGCCATTTAGTGTAATGAAATGCTTTCTTTAGTCTTAAGAAACTTTATTTTGCCTTAAAAATATCCAAAGAGTACTGGATTTTGACATAAAAATGAAAATCTTACCCTAGAAAATTAAAGAAATTAGTTGAGTTAAGCAATTTACTTCTGAAGAACAGTAGATGAAGAATAAGGAATGTTTCTGACTCTCATTTGGGCTGGCTGAAGGCTGTATCATGTAGAAGCAAACAGTTTGTGATGAGTTAGTTTCAAGGCTGAAAGAACAACTTTTCTCACGCAATAATATTTCCTGGTTTTGATTAAAATTTTCAGTTGTATTTTTGGTGAGTGAATTAACATCGAAAAATACCTCACAAATCTATTTAGTCTTCCAGCAAGGTGTGAGCTGCCTGTGCTACCTCTGCTCCTCTGGGGATCCTTTGGAATGCTCACCAGTTCAGAGCCCTGAGTAGGATTCTTGTCATCCCTGGCAGTGCACACAGGTCAGCACCATCTCACCTTTTTGTCAAAGAGGGATATTGCCAGTTTAATAACAGCTTTGTGTTCAGCATTATCGGGACCAGCAGAGTGTTATGGTCGTGTGACTGTGAAATACAAACTGACCTGCTCTAGAGAATGGTTTCTGGATTAAGTAAAATGGCTGGGAGGAAGCATGCAAAGAAGAACGAGATAAATCAAAAGGTGTGGTAAGATGAGTACTTGGCTAGGTCCTGATTAATTCCTGCTAAAACCATCAGGGATTTTGCTTACTAATTTAATAGAACTCGAGGAGGGCTTCAAGAATTGAAGGGTCACAACAGTAAAAGCAAAGAAAGGGAATGGAGGCACGTTAATATCTGATGCTGCTCAGGAAATTTGATGAAGATGAAACAACATGGGCAGAAGCTTTCTCCTTTGGAAAGGAGTCTTGCATGCTCTGGCTTTGCGAGAGAACTATGATTATAGGGTATTTTATCTAGGACAAAATGAGAATACAAGTCAGTACACCACTTAGGGGAGATGTAGTTAGTAAACTACATGTAGCAGAGAATGAATAGAGAAAAAGGAGGATTCTGCAGACAGGAAAACATAATTCTCATACATTTGTATGCTATAGCTCATTCTCCTTGTATTTTAGCAAGCTGGTACAGAACATAGAATGGTCACTCATTTGGAATGCCTTCAGCTGCACACGGGACAAAGTTGTATTATAAATTCTAACTTTACATAGTTGGGTGTTTTAGAGTTTTCTAGGACATGGAAGGTGCATGCACCTCTGCAGTCACCACCACTCCTTGTGGCCTGGCAGGGAGAACTCTCCATTCCTGGGTTTCCCAGCTGTGTCTCTGGGATATCACAGGTCCCTGGAGGAGATCTGAATGTGCAAGCTGGTTTGCTTTCTCTGATCCTGGCAGGATGAAACACACAGTGTCACTCTGGGTCTCCCTGACTCCCTGCTCCATGTGTAACACCAAAACAAGGCTATATTTATTAAGACACAAGGCTAAGCCCTCAACCACAAGACTTAAAGCAAAAAGTGGAATGTAAGATAAACACATAGCAAAATTCTCTTGACTGCTTGAAGAGCAGCTCCCTTGCTCAGCTGGTTCAGGGTACCTCACCAGTCATGACTACAAAGGCCAGGGATCCAGTTTGAGCTGCATCTGCCAGGTGGATCCTACGGTCTCCAGACCAACTCCCATTCCAAAATCTTTTTTCCTTGGAGTTATACTTCAGGTACAAATGTCCAGGACTTTTTCTCTAGGTTTCATAAATATTTAGCCACTGCAGGAGTAGACTATGAAAATGTTGTTGAGAACTCTCTTAGGAATTGATACCACAGGTATTCTTGTTCCTAGTTATCAGCCTTTGCAAGCCCAATTAAGGCCACTAAAACACATTAATTACATGTTTTACAAGACTGTTGTTTTGTGCATTTCATGGTACTCTGGATTTTGGTTGTGGTTGCATCCTCCACTAGAGACTACAAAATATCTAACCCACTAAGGGATGATGAGAGATGAATTGACATACACAGTTGTATTAGCTCAGGTTATAGCATCATGCTAGAAGGGTTGATTCTGGGATCCCCCCTGGATGAGTGTTTAATGTTTAAATGCCAATTAAAAAAGCTCTGGCAGAATTCAAAGGTTTCCAGTCCACAATGTCCTGTGAGTTTTTATACCTCCCTTGCTGAAGCCCAATGACTTCAATGTCAGTTTTTCATCTGTCAAAGTTGCTATCAACAAATATCAAATTTGTTGGTCTTAAATTAAAAAGTTCTAATGTAACTTTAATGAAAGATTTAGTCAGTGCTTGTTGCATTTATCTCAGCTGTTGTTGTGCAAGGCATTACAGAAAAAACTCTTTGACAAAAGACTTCAAAATCAGAGAGAAAATTAGTACCCAAGTTCTTTCATTGATAAATTGCCAAATTCTATTTTGTCATGGACTTTGGGAATTATCTTGGTTTACTGAAACTAAATAAAGATGGAGGACTTCTTGGAATGTTTGATAATACTGCCAGCAAGTGAACTTCACTGCTATAGCTGCAAAAAACAAATACCCACTCAAGAAAGTTAGATGTCAAGAGTAAAGGAACTGAAAAAAAATTTGTGACTTACTGCCTGCATTAGATTAACAGCTCAGCTGTTTTAAGAAAAAAAGGACAAGTTGTTAAAAATATACAATTGATGTAACTTTTATAACTGTAAGTATATGTCTGTAAGCCATAGCTTACATTGCTTTGACTTTGTTGCATTCCCATATCTGTCACTTTTTCCATTTCTGGTTATATAAAGAAATAAGCTGTGTTACTGACAATTTTCTTTATGTTCAATAAAATCTTGAAATCAGAAACTCAATTTGAAACAAGATGTTTTAATTAATGATAACAAAGATGAAGATCATTCTGATAGGAAAATATTAGACACATGTATTGTTCTCCTCAAATAAGAAATATATTGCAAAGAAACACCAGAAATTCTTAGTTGATCACCTTCCTCAAATATTCAAAAACTAAAAAAATGCCATTTTTTGAGTAAGGACTCATGGAACTTTCCTAAGAAAACAAATATGTACTCTTAAAACTGCCAAATCTGTTGTAGTTAATATGTAAGGCCTTAGATTAATTCACTTGAGCTCTATTTTCCCTCATCTTTTATTGATCCCACCTGGACTGGTCAGAATGAGAAGTCTCATCAATGCCTGTGTGCAGTTTAGCTACAGCCTGTACAGAATAACATATGCGTCTGTCATCATAGATGTTACAAGACAGAGAGAAAAACATTGTAAACTAAAGAATAAAGGGCTATTTTTCCTTCAGTAATTCTTATTCAGAAAAACAAATTAGCATGACTTTAATGCCAAGTCAGATGTAAGGAGCAGACAAACCATGGCCTCAACAAGGGAAGTACTTCCAGAATTTTGACTATGTCATCATCCCCCTGAACTTTTTACTGACTGCTGGTGAAAATGGGGGTAGTAAATCAGCGGCAGATCTGAAAACTTAATTCAGAATCCATCGTATTATACATAAGATTATAAAAGCTTTGGGGATGCTTTATTTTCAGACCACCAAAGTTATCCCTACTACCTTCTTATGCAAGGCAAACCCTTCCTTGAGTGTCTGTGAATGGTCACTTTTAGTGTGTCTGCATTGACATGGTCCAGGCTAGAGACATGCTTTTGAAGTAAATATCCTGATCATCCCTTCGTGAGACTCATTCACCTGCTATGAGGGCATGAACAGGATTTTTTTTCAGATCATGTTCTCCAGAGGGCACCCAGTGTACTGCAAACATCAATGGGTGTTGAATCCAGAGGACCAGACTCATGGTAAAATTCAGAAGATCACAGATTGGACACCCAATTCTCAGGACCAGATGCTCCATTCTGTAGAACCTCCTATTTCCCTGCAGTAGTTGCAGATAAAGCAGACTTTATATCATTCTGTAAGTTTGTTCCCATGCACCAGCAGCTGACAGAGAAGGGGTGCATGGAAGAATTAGAGGATAAGACTGGATTGTTTATCCAGGGATTATTTTCCAAACCCTCTGATCTCAGCTGCATGACCAAATGTCACAACCCTGAAGCAGGGGTGACTAATGAGGTCAAGAAATTGTTCTTTTCCCTGGCACTTTTACAGTGTCCACAGTGTTGGACAAGACAGAAGACAAGGATAACAAGATTTTCTAAAGGGTGCCTGTAGACTTGATTTAACAAAGCATCAGAATTTTTGCCAGTCCCTCTTCATGTAAAAAATTCACTGCTTTTAATAGGCCAAGCCAAACATGCTGTTATATGAATAGTCCCCATAGCCAATACTAGAAAATGCATGGGTTTTTTGTATGATAAAACAGTAATTTTGTGTACTCTAACCGGAAAGCTCATGTTAAAACCATTCTCATTGAACCTGTACCAAAAATCAAAGACACAAATGATAGTATGTAAATAATTTCAGAATAAGGCTATATGACATTTTTGCTTTATATTCAATAAGCAGGACTGTTGCTCTTTGTGCGTTTTTAAATTTAAAGTTCAGCTTTATTAATTAAAAATAGCAATATCTATAATTATTAACTCTGACAGATAAATACATATTTCTTTTTCTTTTTTTTGGTGGGATAACATGAGGGTTTAACATACTGAGAAAAGTTACCTCCTACTTTCTTTGGAATCAAAAATTAGAACAACTTAAAAAAATGAATTCTGATCAAGGTTAGACACACTACAGGTGACAAGTGAGAAGGTCATACAAAAGAGAAGTCAATATAAAAATATCTGATTTGGAAAAAAATTGTAAGAAAAAATTAAATCAATAACTATAGGATAAAGGATTTTCTTGGGCACAGATTTATTAAGAGGAAGAGGGCACAAGATGAATTAACACCACTGTCAGACCAGGCTGCTATGCCAGGGGAATGGAGATATTCCTCTACTTAATAATTCTCTTTTAAATGAGTTGGTGCTATCAAAATCTTTTAGGTTTAGTGCAAACAGCTTCCTTTGGACTGTGCTTCCTCTGCAGGTGTGGAAGCAAGAAAGCCTGAGGCTGCACTATTTGCTGTGGATCCTGCA